GCGTTAGCGGCAACCGTCGCCGGTGGCACTAGCCGCCTTCTTTACATCCATGATGTGATAAGCCAGACTCGATACTTAGTCGACACAGGCGCCGAAGTCAGCCTCCTTCCTGCTACAGCAGCAGATCGACAGAAGGAACCTACCTTCAACTTGCAGGCTGCAAATGGAAAACCAATCGCGACCTTTGGTAGGAAATACGTCTATCTGAACGTAGGTTTACGCAAACCTATTCGGTGGATTTTCCTTCTCGCTGACGTTACAATGCCCATCATTGGCACGGACCTACTTAATCATCATGATTTACTCGTAGACGTCCGCCGAAAACGACTGATTGACAATACTACTAGTCTGTCAATCAAAGGCATCAGCTACATAGGTCCTAGTTTGTCACCCGTTAAGATAAAGGCAATCCTTGATCCAGCTTTTCAACCTATTGTTGACAAGTATCCGGAACTTAATTGCCCGTCGAACGACCTACCGTGCATAACCAGCAATGTTATGCACCACATCATTACCACAGGACAACCTGTGACATCTAAAGCACGACGATTAGCTCATGACAAACTGAGAATCGCCAGGAATGAATTTGACCATATGCTTATCCTTGGCATCGTTCGGCCTTCGAATAGCCCATGGGCATCCGCACTTCATATGGTTCCGAAAAAGGATAGCAACGATTGGCGACCCACCGGTGATTACCGGCGAGTGAATGCCAAAACAACCCCTGATTGCTACCCGTTGCCTCATATACACGACTTGACGGCAACCTTATCCGGCGCGACTATATTCTCGAAAATCGACTTGGTTAAAGCGTATAACCAAATCCCAATGGCAACAGAAGATATCCCGTAAACGGCTATCATTACGCCTTTCGGACTTTTTGAATTTCTACGTATGCCATTCGGTCTCCGGAATGCAGCCCAAACATTCCAACGCTTCATCGACGAAGTATTTCGCGGTCTCGACTTTGTATACGCATACTTAGACGACTGCCTCATTGCCAATTCAGACAAGGAAACTCACCTTAGGCACTTGGACTTGGCATTTGACAGGTTACGCCAACATGGTGTTACCATTAATATTCAGAAGTGTCAAATCGGTGTTGACTCACTCGACTTTCTGGGTCACACCATTGACTGCAAGGGCATTCGCCAACTGGCTACTAAGGTCGAGGCTATACTCAACTTTCCAGAGCCACAGACAGTGAAAAGTCTCCGCACTTTTAACGGCTTAGTAAGTTATTATCGACGCTTTATTCCCAACTGTGCCTCTTTGATTCAGCCATTAACAGACCTCCTTCGAGGGAGTAACAAGTCCATAGAACTTGACGCGTCTGCTAGAAATGCTTTTACCCAGATTAAAAAAGCTATTGCGAATGCCACACTTCTGATGTATCAGGATCCAACGGCACCGTTAAGTATCTCGGTTGATGCATCAAACTATACATAACTATACAGCCTAGTTCAGACAATGTGTATTTATATATATATCAAATATTTAACTGTTGAAACATTATTAACTTGTAGACAATCTACGATTTGATATCATATCATACTTGATCGTGCCTGTAAAAATGGCATGCATTTTCATGTAAATTTATATGTTTATATGAGAATATACATTATTATTATTAAACATTGCAATCGGCGCAGTTCTACAACAGCTAGTTGACAAAGAGTGGCAACCACTCGCCTTTTTCTCCAGGCGCCTTCAATTAGCTGAAACGAAGTACAGCACATTCGGCAGAGAACTTCTGGCTATGTACTGTGCTATACGACATTTTAGACATTCGGTAGAGGGTCGTGAATTTATAATTTTTACGGATCACAAACCTCTGACGTACTCTCTGAACTCACCTTCAGATAAGTATTCACCCAGGGAATCACGACAACTGGATTACGTCTCACAGTTTACATCAGATATTCGCCATGTATCCGGAGTAAACAACACTGTGGCAGATGCCTTGTCGCGCGTTTGTTCCCTCACCCAAATCGACGGCATAGACCTTGTAAAACTGGCTCGTCTTCAAAAAGAAGATGCCGAACTTCAACATGAGTTGTCGAAAACAACTCTACAATTAGCTGAGAAACCCTTAGGTATGGGAAGAGATACTATTCTATGCGACATTTCCACGAGTACTCCTCGCCCCATCGTGCCTAAAAGTTATCGCCGTAACGTCTTCAATACGTTGCATGGCTTATCTCACCCAGGTATTCGAACTACTGTCAAGCTCGTAACTAGTCGGTTTTGTTGGCCTGGCATTAATAAAGAAGTAAGGGAATGGGCACACACGTGCTTAGCTTGTCAAAAGTGCAAGGTGATAAGACACACCAAAAGCCCACTTGGCACCTTTCTTCTCCCTGACGCTCGTTTCGAACACGTCCATATAGATTTGGTTGGACCCCTTCCTGAATCACATGGATATACCTATATTTTAACTTGCATCGATCGATTCACACGATGGCCGGAAGCAGTACCCATCAAGGACGTATCTGCTGAAACAGTCGCACGCGTCTTCGTAGAAAGATGGATCGCTAACTTTGGATGCCCATCTTCCATAACAACTGATCGCGGGCGGCAATTCGAAAGTGGCTTATTCTTCGCCCTGACTAAAATCATAGGTTGCATGCGATTTCGAACAACAGCCTACCATCCTCAAGCTAATGGTATGGTAGAACGTCTACACAGACAGCTGAAAGCTGGTCTGTCAGCCGCAAACACCACCCATTGGACTGAATCCCTGCCGTTAGTTCTCCTAGGGATACGAAACGCCTTGAAAACCGATGCTGGTTGTACTAGCGCCGAGCTAGTATATGGCACGACACTGCGACTGCCTGGTGAATTTGTTTCTCCCTCGAGCTTCCCACCAGTGGTAGATCACGCTTCATACGTCAGCAGGCTTACAAACGCAATGCGTTCAGTTAAACCTGCTCCCCTTCGCCCACAGTCCATTGATGTTTTCGTTCATCCGTGTTTGAAAACTTCTTCACATGTATTTGTTCGTCGCGACTCTGTGCGCAGACCCCTGGAACCCCCATATGACGGACCTTATAAGGTAATTAAACGTTCTGATAAATTCTTTGTCTTGGACAAAAACGGCCGCGAGGACACCGTCAGCATTGACCGTCTGAAACCGGCTTACTTGGAGGGTAATCCTATTAGCATAGAGCTGAACGTACCCCAAAATCCACAAGTAACAGAAGATCGTGTAGACATCGATGAAGTCGCTAGCACAGCGACAGCTACCGAACCTTCTATCGAGCCTCCCAAGAAAACCCGTTCTGGACGCACCGTAAGGTTCCCAGAATATCTGCACACTTATTTGACTTAACGAATTCGTGTGATTCACGCAACTCATTCGTTTGTGGTACTGACTATTTTTTTTGACGTATCAATTTTTTTTATATACAGTACCACCGAACACAAAAATTTTTTTCTCAACAGTTCATGTAACATACACAAAAAAATTAATTAGATGTATTTTTTTTCGATGTTCTGAACTTAGCATTATTTTACTGTATAGTAAATGCACACAATTTTTTTTAACCAAAAAGCTCATTTCGTACATTTTCCTCGACATGGTTCTTAGCGTTCTTGTTTTCTTTTCCAGGTGCGACGGGCACTGGACAGGAACCAAACAAAGCACGGAATCCAACGAACAACAACAAGGAAGCTATGTACAAACACCCTATTAGCATAGGCAGACAAACCAGTAGGCATAAGACCAAGCCGCTCGGAAGATTTTTTTCACCCGAAAGGGAACCATCGAGTTTTTTTACTTCCGGCTGGTTCTGTCTTAGGGTCCTCACGACCCCACTAGTGGGGGAGTGAGCTGTAGCGGTAAATAATTCCCCAAAATTATTGACCACAGCAATCACTCATTGGATGCTGACCACCACTGTTTAAGTCGACTTGTTTAGCTGAAGGCTTCCGGTCAAGCATCCCCGCCATTTGGTACCCCGTCGTGTAACGTGCACGATCACTAGCTAGCTAAGCGTTCGTCTAACGGCTTGTTTTGGTTCCTAAATATATTTCTTGGTTTGGACGATCAATTATTGGCTTTTGCTTTGTCTTTGGTACGCGAGAATAAATTAATTAGAAGTTGTTGAACGAGATATCCGTCAACCTCTAAACGCTAAAGAAATTAGTCCCATTGACAATTAGCTACCGTCGGCTTAGGGGGATTTGATTACTGCCTACAAGATAATAAATGATCAGAATCAACCAAACAATGGTGCTCTGCCGTTGATTAGGTATAGGCTTCCTCGTGGAAATCCCAGATGCATAGCCCACCACAGGGCGAGGACCCGGGTGTGCTCTCAAATCTTTTCACTGCGAGTTTGCCATCCCAGGGATTCCTTACCAGTAGATGTAGTTATGGTACCATCTGTGGACACCTTTAAGTGAAAGCTGGAAAATCATACAGCAACACATGGACTGGGTCCAAATGGCCTATCTCTTTGAAATCCCATACACCATCCGGGGATAGACAACTAAGTTCGTCGTTTTACTTCTTTACATTCTCTCCCGTCTTACTCTCCTGACAACGTTAAATACACTTATTATTATTACTGATATATATATATATATATATCGACTTCAAATTTAATCAGCTGACTGTTGTTACGTCTTCTTAATTTCTTTTTCTGCTTGTTACCCTGAATAACTTCCCTAATTATATCTATTATTACTATTATCTCTTTTCTTTTGACGACGATACCCGAGGACTAACTGGTGAAAAGATCAACTCAATTCGCAGTAGTAACTATCTTAACATATCACATACCACAAACCACATATAATTAATCCCAGCACTACTACTTCTGGAGTCAAAGCTACATCAGTCGAGTGGCGGGACGGGCTGCGCAGAAGTTTACCGAAGATCAAAAACCTATATCTCACAATCAAGGGGTGAGCACAAAAAATCAGATTGGTTTACACTAACTTGCAAAAAAGATGTTGGACATTGGCGCTTTCTTAGACCTCTGCGTTACTAAGGGATGTCGGTCAAGGGTGGGGACCGGTTAACTCCTTTTATGACCTACGTGCGGAATTTATTGTTAGGGAGGAAATACAACAATACACTAAGGTATGCTGATACAATGTCCAAGAGAACGCAACCTTCTGCTTTTCTCCCCAACGGCATAAATGATAAACTATCTTCTAATGATTATTATACTCGAGATGGTAGACGGGAAGTCCGTAAACCTTTTGATGTTTATGTATCCGGAACTAAAAGGTTGACAGATGCAGGCAGGTGAGGTCCTTCGTGTTTTTCCTTAAGTAAAAGTGGAGTCTTCGTGCTCATTGTTTCAGATTTAGATTCAGATTTATTGGTATATTATATATTTCCCACGCCAATTTTTTATCAGGTTTTTGGAGGAAGATACCCCACTGTAATTTGTTACATAACACTGTATGCATTTTAAATAGGAAGATGTCCGTTGTATTGTTATTATTTAGCCACTTATTTGAGACATTAGTTACTAGCACTGTCAAGCATCATATACTGTCATTAGTCACGTGGATATGGGATAAATGAAAACAGACAGTAATTTAGAATCTTTAATGCGATTCCCGTGTATGTGTTGCTTAACCACTAAATGCTAAATACCCGTCGGTGGCACAGTGGTTAGGACTCTCGCCGACCATGCACATGGTCCGGGGTTCGAGCCAACGCCGGCGCACACCTGATATCTATGGTCGGCCTGCAGAATTTGGGCTACCGATATCCATGCTGAAAATTCCATACTTGTACAAAAAATACAGTGTGGAATCAAGCTGTAAATCAAAAAATTTACACACATGTGGAAAGCGTCACATATGTTCTACGAGAGCTGAAAACTCCTGAGTAATCACTTCTCGATAGTTGAAAAGGACGTCGGCCCTTTGTGCCAGTAATTTCGGGTTAGGGGAACAGACCAATGAGTATCAACTCCACTTAGCATTTATGAAGTCTTAAGTTGTAGGTATAAAACTCAAGCATAATGCTGTAAAGAAAATCAATATCAAACTATAATAGTCGATGGAGTGATTGTTGAATCAAAATCTAATTCGAAGGTTGTTTTTGCGTGATCCCAGTGTATCTGTTAGCTTTATGCATGTAATTGAATACTACTGTTTCTCTGGTATTAGAGAACACCTGATCAAACGGTGTATAAACTTCAGGAGGTGTGAGCGTTTTATTATTTAGTTTTGATTTTCACAACAAAATAATTAGAATACACTTTCTCATTTTAACACAAAACAAAATGTCATGATGTTTGGATATTTTTATAGGCAGTAATGCCAATTTCATAAGGCGTGAAAAGTAAATGACTAATTGAAAACTGCTTCGATGCAAAAATTTGCACGAAATCACATTTTCACCATACTTTAAAAGTGCACACCATCGAAAAAAAATTATGAAAGAAATATAGTAGGAAAATATAACAGCAGTAATAACGAACTGAGCAGAATAACGTGTAGTCATTTTATTTCGTTGGTTCTTTTCATCTGCATTTGAAATAATAAATTCTAATATAAATATACAAAATATTGGCATTCATTTGTTGTTAATCACGGCTGAACGACTGGGATTTTCACATAAAAGTTTGTACAGAAATACGGCGGTTCAATTTGCCACACCATATACCACATAGAAAGCGCAAAAATCAAAAGAACTATAATAAGTGCAAATATGCTGAAGAAAAACAGCTATATGGAAAACGTGACTTAATGGATATGCGAGACCACAAAGATTGGCCGATTTCGAGACGTAAGCGAGTCTGAAGCCATTGGTATCTAGCGCCCCAACGATCCCAGGCAGGTGTCAGTCACTGAAACAAACAGGCAATCAGAGACTTCATGGATAGATTCTATGCTTTGACTCGATTATCATTAACTCTGCTCCAGCCTAATCACATATCGGCAAACACTGTTTTTAGAGGAAGGCGATGGTTTGGCCTGTGTAACACGTATCCTAGCCATATCAATTGGTGCAGTTCCACAAACTCATGGATTGACTTCCTCTCCTTATGTAACACTAGGCCTAACCTCAATATTGTTCATCATTTAATAGTACTAAGCACAGGATATAGAATGCAAACGTCTGTGGTTGAAGACACATAGCCTCTTCAAATTTGAGACTTTCAATGGCAATTTCTTAGTCAAACTGCTGCGCCGTTCACACGTTTTTATATTGGTAGCCGGATGTCGATTCTACTCCAGAAATGATGTAAGTTGGCGAATGCCACACGAGCCTTTTGTATTCGTCCTGAGACTTCTCTGGAAATCAGTCCACTAGAATTTGTGTTTTTCTAGATAAGTAGAATGGTCAACACTCATCCGCTTTGCTTTCTATCTATAAACTAAGAGTTTGTACGGACCAGTATCATCTTACAGTCTGCAGTAAGGAGTCTCATGCTAAGCACACTAAGATTTCTGATGAAGGTTCCCAGAAGCCCCTGCATATTTTCGGCGTCATGGAGAAAAATAAATAGAAAATATCGAGGATTTATCTACCGATATTACTGTTAGGTAGTCTTCCACATCACAATAACAAACTTTTCGTCACATGTCTAGAGATTCTTCCTGCAAGGAGTCTCTGTTCTCACAAATCTAAGTATAATCAAATAAATAAATACAAGTGGGAGTAACATAGGATAATTTCAAGTCCAGGCGAGTTTTCTTGAACATGTTTGTTAATTTCGAAGCGGGATGAAGGAAGTACTATAAAATATAATTAGTTAAAACTTAGCCGCCCGCCAAAAATTTTTCATGTATGAGGGCTGATGTTGTTATTCGGTTTCCCAGGCTAAAGTGGATACAGTGGTATTCAGGCTACCAACAAATTGGTTGAAAGTAGAGTGTTTAAGCTGATGAGTCAAATCTGCAGCTAACAGAACTGTGAATAACTACTGTAATTTAAGCATTTTTAAAGTGTAGTTTAGTATTTATCTCGAATGAAAACGGAACGATTTTGGTTGTCTATTCAGACAGTGCGTCTAACCATCGGTTCGCAATGTGAGTAAAATCACATGTAGGCTATTGATATAACCGCCTCACATCACACTTCATGTACACGTACATTTTTCAGGTTATTAAAGGAGAATTTTCTGAGGAACCTTGAAATAACCGTATCTTTATACAAATTTTGGACTGATGTCTGTCTGTCTGTCTGTTTTCGACATAGAACTTTGCACAAATGTGCGGATGTAAGAAATATGATTGTATTGTTTTCTTAAATGTCACTATATTTTGGTTTGGTACTTGTGTAGTGAAGTTGGAATTAAATCATCATCCTACAAACAAAACTGTTGGTTTCACTGGGGACTGTTTTATCTTAGGTGCAGTTTCTTTGCTGGAACTCCTGTGATAGTGAATATGAATATCTCTTGTTTTACTAACAGTAGTATTATTAGTGCGCAACCACATGATCACTGTTTTGAGTGACAAATGAACAACCAACCAGTCAGCTAGACGTAACTGCTTGTATGAGAACTTGTAATTGTTCATTACTTTTATATGCTTCTTATCGTTTTAGGTCTGAATCCTCAAGTCTCCCATCAAAGTCAACTGAGATAATTCCTGGAGAAAAGTTTAACTGGGATAAGCGAGTGGAATTATAATTGATCGAAATTGATCTGTTTCTACATGACGATGTCTGTTTCAATGCATCAGGTCTGGAAGTCACCTTATTTATCATATGATTTTCAAAGAAATATGTGATTTTGTGTATCAAATCTCATTTAGTGTAAAATTTTCATTTTTGACTCTACAAGTCCTACCCACTACATACATAGTTTGTAACTATTATTGTAGCTATTATTCCTTATAGTCATCGCAAGAATATACCAGTTTTACTAATATCTCAATTTTTTGTGTTTTCTGAATCACGTCATTCTGAGACCTGGGGATGTGTACGTCAGCTACAGTAATCAGAAGTTCACTGCTGAACGGACCTTATTTATATGTAGAGACTTAATTTTTAAGCCTAAAAATTATATCAAGAGAAAAGCTAATATCAGTGTATGCATGCAAAGTTGGTTAACTGAAATAACAATGTACTGTTATGAAAAGTTATTTGTCTATACCTTCAACTGTTTTTAAATGACTAACTGACTGGTTTCAACGTAGAAATTTGCATAGATGTGCTGCAGTTCAAGTCACCACACTCCATGTAGCACACAAAACAAGGGAAGAAAGTAAAAAGAAATGCATAATAGAGACAGTAAACAGAGATATGAGGCAAAAAGAATAGTAATATCGAAGAACAATATAGTTTTATTGGGTATTATAAGTCACAAGGAGTGAATCCATCTGCTCCATTGAAAACAATTTTGAGCCATATGATCAGTTGTCTCCAGCCATTGATTTTTACCATCCCGAAGACCCCAACCAGTCAGGAAATCTACACCACCCTACGTGTATTAAACTAACTGTCATGGATTCCATTGACTGGTGCCATGTTTTAGTTTGACTACTACTAGCTCTCCCTTCCAACCTGATCCTATTTCACTTAGCTAACATTGCCTATTGTCGAGGAAGGCGATAGATGATGACTGGACATGCGTAACACATGTCCTAACCATCTCAATCGGTGTAACCGCACAACCCTTGTCCATTGATCTCCCCTCCTTACCTAGCACTCCACCGAAGCCCAGCCTCAAAACTGCTCACCCTATTATTCCAATTAACACGGGAGATAGAACGCAGATACCTATGATCAAAGACAGCTAGCCGGCCTCTTCCTGTCTTCCACTTTCAATGGCCATGTCTCGCCCACAGCCATAAAGGAGGACAGAGTGACCTGGTGAGCAGTACACACACCCTTTGTTCGACGGTCGGATATCACGTCTACTGACCCAGAGATGGCGTAAGTTGGCATATACTAAACGAGCCTTCTGTATCCGTGCAGAAATTTAGTCAGCGATGAACTCGTTGGGGCTGACGCAACTTTCTAGAAAAGAAGTGAAGTGGTCAACACGCTCTACCACTTCACTACATATCTGTAAGCTAGGAGTCAGTGTAGTCCAGCCCAGTCCCGTAACATCATCTTGCATTTGAAGGGAGAGAATCGCAGGCCAAACATACGCAGATTGCAGCTGAATGTTCTAAGAAGGCTCTGCATTTTGTCAGCGTCTTCAACTAGAAGGACTATATCATCTGCATATTCCAGGTCAACAAGAGTCGCTGAAGTCACTTAGGGTTAAGTCATGGTCTAAAGCCTACCTGGTTCTCCCGTGAACCGCTTAGTCTACGCATTATTATTGAACCTAGAACTTTAGATACCATATTAGTCAAGCTAATCCCCCTGTGATTATCACAGGAAGACATGTCTCCCTTCCTGTACATAGGGATAATCAATGACTTACACCAACCCGACATGACTTTCTTTGATTCCCAGACGCTGCCTAATACCTTAGTTAACGCAGACAACAAGCTATCTCTGCCGTCCTTAAACATCCGTTGAGTCATTCAGTCAGGTCGTGTTGCTTTGCCTCGTTTCAGACTAGTGACAACTTTAGTAACCTCAGCTAGAAACTGAGGACCTGTGTCTACATCCCAATCAGGGAGGCGTCGGATGGTCGGTAAGTTGAGCGTGGCTATACTCCAAATGAGTTCCTCCTCAAAGTGTTCTTTTCAATGTTCTAGTCGTGTGTCCTGAGAGCTAACTAGGGTGCCATTTTTCTCAGAGATTGTTTCACTTGCCAATTGCCTTTTGCCGCCTGTTTTCCTGATAAGTCTAAATAGCTGCCTGGTGTTACCAATCGCAGATGCCTTTTCCATCTCTTTCGCTGTTGTCGCCTGCCACTGTTCACTGCCGTTACGAAGACTTCTCGTCAGTTTGCGTTTGAGCAGCTCTCGCTCCTTATCAGGTTCGGAGCTCGCCGGAATCAGTCTTTTTGCGTCAACCAGTTCGGATGAGGTGGTAGAAATCCACTGACTCTTACCAAATTTCGGTTTTAGATTATTAACAACTTTTAAGGCTGTGTCTACAGCTAACTGTATACTGGGCCAAGTGGAGCCCTGCTGTCTACCTGAGATACTCGTTTCGTTATTTCTCCCATAAATAGGGACTGAGATTCTTGATCCAGTTGGGGATGTAACTGCTTCGCTGACAACAAATTTTTATGTCCGTTTAGACATAAGTATAAACTTGCGCGGACCAGAGCGTGATCGGAGTCTATGTACGTGTTCCAGATAGAGTGGCAGTCTTCTACTGACCCTCGCCAACGATACCCTATGGCTATTTGGTCTATTTGAGTCCAGCGTTGATCTGTTGATGGAGGTCGCCAGGTTACTCAGTGTCTCTCTTTGTGCCTAAAGTTAGTGCTGACTAGGAACAGATGATTATCTGAACAGAACTGTAGAATACATACCATTAACGTACTTTTCAGTCTGTCACAACTCCCCTACTTTGGCGTTGAAGTCGCCTGCTAAAACAATTATATATGAGTATTTTGTTTTTTGTAGTAAACTGAACAGTTTCTGACAGAAACCATCCTTTAATTCATCTGAACTGCAGTCTGTTGGGGCGTAAGCGGAGACTATGAGAAGACAACGACGGGTAACGCCGTCCTTCTTGCTTCTTGTGGACCCATTGAGACGGACCGCACACATACGACTATCTACTGGAATCCAGTCAAGTAGTGATTTTCCTTGTTTTTAATTCTCAGATGAAAGTGTCGGTTGGCTTTTAATCAACTGAGTAATACTGTTTCATTCCGTGACGCGACTAACAATAATATCATACGAAGTTATACACTGCCATAATTCTTCGAACTTTACTTTTGTATCAATTGAATTGTAATGAATGCCTATTACAATATTGCATTACTGTTGTTTTTATCATATATTCTTCACAGTGTTGCAAGCAAACAACTGCCACAGATTAGGAATGAAGCGACCAAGCCATCAGGTTTTCGGATACTATCTGGACTGTTGAAATGGCTTTAGGGAGGTGTAGGGGCACATGCAAATGTGTAACATGGCCTTTTGTACATGCGTTTGTATCGCAGTGACTGTCTTTTAAACAGCCTTGGACAACAACCGGGTTTCTGAGTTATTCAGCCCAGATTTCTAGTCCATCCTATATTGGTGGTCACACTGGTGATGGTGACGCATCGAATGTTCAAGGCAGAATACTGAAATTGTGGATGTTCTGCACTGTAACCAAGTAAGGCACCGCCTTTTCCCTTCAAATAAATACTTGCTTCGGGGTTGTAAATGCTCTGTTATGTATTCTATCTTCTAAGCGGTGAGTAAGTTAGTAGTCTAGTTACCTCAACATTTATTTTCACGAAAATAACGTGAAAGAGCGCATATAACCAGCTACTGACTGACGAGAAGGATGACTTTACTGTAAAACAGTACCTTTCTCTTGCAAAGATGATGTAATTAAAAGAATTCCTCTCTGGTCAGGAAATAATGGAAATTGGCTTGGGATGAAAGTCAGTCGTCTTTAAAATTCAAACATATTTTCCTTTAGATATTGAGGTGGTTTCGGGGTTTGTAAAGTCATTATTGGTATGGCGGACAGGTCGGTTCTTCGGAATAACCCGGACTAACTTATCAAACAGTATAAGTGCTAGACTCTGGAAATCTATTCCAAAAGAGCGTTGCAATGCACATCATATAGTGAACTCATAGGACGTACAATACTGACTTCAATATGGATAAGATACGCATACGTACAATACTGAGTTCCTTTATGTCAAGGACCAAAAGGATTAAGGAGCTATTGTTGGTCGTGTTTTGAAAATGGAATCACTCTATAATGCAGCTGCAGCCAAGCAATTCCGAATGCTCTAGGTGCCTCACATGGTGTCAATGTGGTTGAAGAGTGAACGATCAATTCATTGTTGTTTGCTCAAACCCAACTCCTCCATATTTTTCTCAGGAGTCATCAATCCAGCAGTCATCGTCTCATCGTTCGCTGTTCAGCGGAAGATAAAAAACTGTCAGAAGTATTATCGTGACTTATTGTTATAACATTTATTCTTAGACCTTGTGTGTAATAACCTTATTGTTGGTTACATATTGGCGAAAGACTAAAGGAATTTCGAGTCGCCAATCTGTGTTCTTGTTTTTCGCGTTGGTTATTACAAATTGTTTCTGAAAGTCTTCGAGGGACGGTGTGAGGTCCAGCGTAGTAAGAGCTAGACATTGACAATTTCTGAGAGTTGACTGACACATGGCTTTCAAATATGTTTATAAGAACATGTTCAGTGTGAGAGAAGATATATATAATCACACCTCAAAAGTGCCCTGTATTATTTTCTACGTCTTTCATAGGTTATAATAGTGTTGGTCAGTTGGACATTTGATTTTCCACCGGCAGCTGCCATCGTGCATGCTGATGCGTGACTTTGCGATGCGTGTGCAATGAGTTCATATATAGTGTTTTGCTGTTCCTATGGTGTTTTATGGTCTTTCATACAACTTAAATGCTTGTTGGGCTGTACACTCCTCTGATGAGATTAGTTAATTGTTGCGGTGATTATCAATGCCCATGAAGTCGTTGGTCCCTATGCTTTTATCGAGCCGTGGTCAAATATGTGATATACCTTGAGTTATTATTGATCCAATATTCTGTCTTTCTTCCAGATTAACTGCGAAGTGAAGT